AAAAAAAAAACAGTCGAACATCAGTCTTCAAAACTTCAAGATTCGCATCTAAGAAAAAACAATATATGAATATAATCATTCGGGTTTTTTTTCCCCGACTTGTCTAGAGAAATATAAAAATAAAAACCTTGTATCAATCTTCAATAAAAAAAGATTCACTGAAGAATAGAAAATATTCGTCAACTTTCGCTGAAGTTTATCCTGCACTAATCAGAGGGCTTGTGATCAGTGATGCGAACCTCAAAGGAATCGAAGTTGAAAAGCCAATAAAGTGCATATGGAACTGACGTATCCAGGACTTGTAGGTTTATAAATTTACTAGAAACTAGCAGTTAACTACCAACTAGCACATATGAACTTAGCAACTAGCAACTAGCAACTAGCAACTAGCAACTAGCACAATCTCCAAGCTGGGTTTATCCATGGAGTGCTTACACTATGACTATGAAATAAAATCTAAATAGTTACTAACAAATAGTTTGTAGTCAATAAATAAGAACTATTAGATAGTAACTAACTATTCAGATTCTATTTCATGGACGTAGTGTAAGCACTCTATGATTTATCATAGAAATAATGTGTACAGATAAAAATAGATTCGTCTGAACTTGGAATTTCAAAGCGTTGAAATGGATTTTGGAAACTTTTGTGTCTGAGTCCCGGCATATAATTTTCAGTAGCCTATTGCATTATGAGCATAGATAACGAATACAGAACAGTGCAGTGCGAGATATACAATACTTCTTAGTATTCGTCCTATGAAAAACAACCAAGCTTTTTTACGTTACCGGATCGGAATTTGTAGTCATTCGTTTGGATTCAGATTCATGCGGCGATACATGTCGAATTTCTTTTCCCGCCTTTTTTGCATGAGTTTCACAAAAGTAACAAAAGACGGCCACTACTAGAAAGACGAAGTGTCCTGTGTAAAGAAACAAAGATATACTTAGTTCTGTTGTATGATTACTGTGGTTTGCAGTTGTTGTTTGTTTTTTTTTTTTTTATTTGTTGTTGTTGTTGTTTTGCTTTGCGTTGTTTTTCTTTAGACTTAGGGTATGGTTTCGATTGAACTTTGTGCTGTCTTTGTAGAAACACGCGAGGATTGTCTACACCACACACGATTCGAACTTCAAGCCAGACAGGCCTGGTCCAAAAGAGGGAGGATCTTGGAGCAYGCCAACCAATCAAATGAAGACATTTTCTTGGAATGCGACAGATGTCTGGCTCATCTTACTGTCACGACGTCGATACGTGTGGCGCGCCCAGTGTAGCGTACGCGTTCGGTGTGTGTTTAATTGTTTAGGTSTGCTACGAGCAATCGATTTTTATCTTTCCTTCTACTTCTAGTTAAAAATCCAGCTATTATGGACCATTATACCGAGGTAATGTATTGTTTCACCAAACTTGRCATTGATGTTTCCTCTAGTGGAATAATTTTTGTTTTCATATTTGTTGTTCCATGATCGGTTTGATCGATCATCATGTCGATAAAATCATTACCGCGTAAAACTAATGAAGTTTTATTTATTTTCCCTATATTAAAAAACAAAAGCATTTACTTTATTTTGGTATGTGGTAGTACTGTGTGAACATGATACACTTTGGGCAAGATTGTACAAATGAGTTATTAAGTCATGCTATTTGTTTTGGTCGGTGCCTGCCTTTATGGTGCAATCATTTCAAACAACAACTTCAGTGCAAAGCTAGACTGCGGCTGGCTTATGTGTTTACTGAAATGCATCACAAATATATTCCGTGATACTTTTAGTATTTTATAACTATATTCTGACTCGTTGGTCGCATTTACAAATAGCGCAGATTCATCGAAATATATCGATCATTATCGACCTTATAATTTGTACAATGGAGACGTGCGTTATTCAATATATGTTTGCTTTTCAGATTCGCATTCATCCCACCAGAGTTTTTATTGGGGGATTAGCTCGTGGTGTACGTATACCGTAATCTTTTATTGTATCTCTTTATACTACTCGATTCTAAGTCATTGTAATTATTGATTATTTGTAAAGTGTTATGTCCTTTTGACACGACACCTCAGACATCAATTTTTATTTGCACTTTTGAGACGCTTTATAGTATTAAAGAGATAGGGTTGTTCTCGGTGTATTATATAATATGTAATCCTGTTAATTGAGTAACATTCAACTTATAAGCTTGTGATTAGCAAATACTACTATTAAATTATAAATCTTATATCTGTCAGACTTCAGAACTCGAACTGGAAAATTTTTTCGCGGAATACGGAGCGATCACAGATGTGAGGATTGTGTGCGATAAGCATACAGGTGTAAGTAAAGGGTAAGGATAGCTTGACAGATGGCTTTGAAGTCTTGTCATATTAATTTTGTGAAGGTGCGTTATCGGGTTTCCTTATACACAACAAGCTGCATTAGTTCGAACTTTTGATGAAGCATATGGTATTCATAAAGTGCAGCGTTTGAATGAGGTCTACTGCGCATTGATAATGTTTATATAAGCAAGCATCGACAGCCTCGTACTACGTACGTATCAGTTTATCAAAACCTCGTGTTTCATCTGTCGAACGATTGTTTTTAGATTTGGGTTCGTCACTTATGAGACGCCCGAAAGTCGGGATAGCGTGCTCATAAAGGTAACACGCCTCCGTTTCAACCTCGCTCAAGACAGCGCACTTTATAAATCAAAAGCCCGCTTTTCTTGTATTTTCAGGATAAGATAGACTATAATGGTCGCCAACTTCGCTTGCGACTGGCAATCCGCAGAAAGGTACTTTTCGGTCGCATTTTGTTGGGAGTATATTTCATGCAATATGTCTGGTATGCACTTTTAGGGACACGGCCAGTTTGTGACCGAAGTCACCGATTACGGCAGTCCCAATGGTAGGTCCTTTTACAGCTGTAAATRCATTTCAAYGCYATCTGATTGTTGCATAGTAGGCTTTCAGAATTTTCCGACAAATTACAAAAACATTAATGGTCGGCACAAAAATTTGTACTTTGATTGACAGATCTAAGTACAAATTTTTTGTGCACAATAATTAGGTACAAAACATATTTACTAGTAACGCTTTTGTAATTTTGTCGGAAAATTCTGAAACAGTCTAATCTCTTGTAGGATATGGGGTTCAGTGGGTTCTGGTACCCAATGATTACAAAGACTACAGCATGGTATTAATTGACATGATAATAAATGTTTATCAGTTGGTCCCTTAAAGGACCCCTTCTTTCATACCAGTAAGATTTATTGTAMGTTTTTCCTCAGGTGTATTACCCACAATACAGTTATGGCACTTATGGTTACTCTGGCTACATGGTAAAGTGTTTTATATGCCAATGTTCATAAAATACAAAGCAGTAGTAAAACCCATTTTAACCACTGAATTATGGTCACAGCTTTTCTATTAAAATTATGACAGTTCCAGACCAACACATGTGTTACAGTTTCAGATCAACAGACAGTTGTGTGAGAAAGAATAGCTATTAATTTGTGTGTAATAACAAGGGGAATCCAGGGGGCTAATTATAGGATGGCCAGCCATCCCCTTTTAAGAGTTCAAAAATATGGAAATAGAAATTTTGAGATAAGTATATAAGAGAAGGTAAAACTGAATGGGACTTTCAGCAATCAGCATTTCTCTGAAAGAAATGTTATTTTCTGCAGCCCTAAATATAGTATTTAATATTTTTCTTGAGTTATAAAGCTACTGCCCTTGGTAACAACATATATATACCACTGAATAAAGGGTCTGTATAAATGTTATTTACCTTTCTACAGGCTCCACTTCAAGAAGGAGGAGTAACTTATTTCTACATGTAGATTGTGTATACAAATACACACTTTGAAAAGGTAAAGATATTTGTAAAACAGATCTTCTGTTTTTTCCTGTCTTGCAGGGACGTCAGAGTGTTTTTTTTATCGGCTGGGGGGGGGGGGGGGGGGCTACTAACATAATAAAGTGATCTAAGTATTTTATCATTAAGAAAAAAACAAAACAAAGAAACATTCAGTAGAAGTATACTTTATGTTGATTTCTTAACTTTTATTTTCGGAATGAATAAGTCTCTGACGTCTCTGTCTTGAGGGAGGACCTGCTATAATGGGCAAGTTTGAAAAAGAAATGTAAAGGGATAGATTAGTGGAAAATTGTATAACAGAGTGGAAGGAGGGATTGCACAGATGAATGAATGAGTGGATAATTAAATGGAAAAGGGAATGGAAAGAGGGATGAATGAATCAAAGCTTTGGACAACAAAAAACTGAATGGTTTGAAACTTGACACGGTCACAACCTGATTAATTTTCTKCGGGAAGACGCACACATTAAGTGCCCCGGAATTTGCGTCTTAAAAAAGTTTTTTTTTTTTACTTGCAGACTTATCCAGTGTTCACATTCAAGCACATACACAGTATCTGCATCATGAAGTTTTTAATCATATTTTACTTTTTATGTTCTTTTTCTGACAAGAAAGTAATTTGGGCCGTGTACATTTTTATAAACTATTTATGTGTAAAGAAAGTGTTGATGTCTATGCGTACGTACAAAAAAGTCACCCATCTCAGCAGTGAGGACAACTAGGAATAAAAAATTCAGCAGGAGGAAGACAGCTTAGTATTGTGAGAGATGAAGAAAAAAAGTACACGGGTTTACTTTTTTAATGGCCTGTTTGTAAACAAAATAAAATTGTTGCTTCTGGTACTTAGTTTCTGTTGTTCTTGTATCGTGAACATGTAATGAAAGACGTCGSGTTCCATCCGCCATTTTGTCTAGGGAATGTTTTCATTGAGAATACCAGGTGGCGCCAAGTAAATTGATCGGCCCGCTATGCTAATAGACGATAGTTTCATGTGAATTATTCAACCTTAAAGGTTGAGCTGATATATGAGTGAAATTCATTGAAGTTAAGCGTAAACAGGTAAAGATTAGCAGTGCAAGCAGTTCTGCCATTTTCAGGTCCTGCAAATATATTGCCATGTTTGTTTCGGTAGACTTAGGTAGATAAAAGAAGCGCGAAAATCGTTGACCCATGAATCCTGGGCGACTCGAAATTTKCCCGATCTGTCGAGGGTATTTTCACTTCTATTTTCTGTATTTCTTTCGAATAAATGAGTGTAAATGAAAAGAAATCGCAGTTCATTTACATGTACTACTAGTAAGGCAAACAACTGTTAAAAAGGCCAAAACAGCTGTTACGACAAATATGTGTTACAATAGAATGGCACTGATTTACCCTGTTTCAGTGGCGTGAAAACTGGGAATACTGTATGTTGGTCCATTTGTAGAATATATATTACAAGAGTTATGCACCAAATACGAAGAGATTCTAGGTCCAATCAAATACTGTACAATTGACTGTAACAATTAACGATTTTTGAGAGGATTCGGTCATGTCGTGAAGGGAGGGGGCCGATGGAGATGCGTGCCCCTCAACCAATCYCCAACAAGCTTTTCAATCCTTTATCGGACATTTATAAGATATTGGAGAGTGAGAGTACTCCTTTCTTTCTAAATACTAGTTCCTTGCAAATTGAAAGCGCAAACTTTATCCAAAGTCCATAATGCGGCAAAAACATCCGTAAAAAATAAGTACGTGTATATTTTAGCATGATTTGGCGGTATTTTGTACAATTKTTATTGTTCGAAAAACATGTTTCACTCAACGACCTCCAATAGTTGATTTTGCAGTCGAAAGCAAAAGACAAAAATCGTCAAACGTAGTAACTATTCATACTTAGTGGTTTACATAGGGAATGTGATATATTGTGACCTTTTCCCAAGATGATGGTTCTGCAGAACCAAAGCGAGGCTTTGGCTAGGTCGTAACATTTCCACGTGTTCACAATAGATGAAGAAAATTGCTGAGGAAACAAAAATGAAAGAGAAAAGTTGTAATTCAGCAATTATCGTCGAAATATTTATAAAATAGATATTTTGGTAAATTTCAGTTTGGAACTGATAGAATTATCTGTCTGATAAATATTAAAAGAACTACCAAAACCAGTTGAAAATGGATGGCTAGACAATGCAAATACCTTCGACAAACTTGCACCTTTGTTGCCAAAGAACATCTATTTTGTAGCTATTGATTTCCCAGGTCATGGACAATCATCGTGCCGCCCTGTGGGAGTACCTTACAATTTTTTCGACTGGATTATAGACGTAAAATGGGTTGTATCACAGCTTGGATGGAAGAGATTCTCCTTGATTGGCCACAGTATGGGTGCAGGTGTAGCATCTGCTTACGCCGGAACCTTCCCTAACGAAGTGGAAACAGCCATTTTGATAGAAAATCGTCGGGAAAATGTGACCCCAGAGGATGCCCCTGATATTTTAGCAAACGCTGCAAAGTTTTTGACATCTAATAGTGGAAGAAATGAGAAACATTATAAAGTCTTTCAAAATGTGGAAGCTGCAGTAGCTCGTCTGATGAAAGCAAGTCCAGATCACACTCAAGAATCGGCCGAAACTTTAATTCGTAGAAGAATTATCAACGCGCAAAATCCCCAAAAAGATTCATGAGGAAATACACATAAAAAGCGATGCAAGGCTTAGATCGACAGGTACTGACAATTATAAGGGTGGTGTCTATGTTACTACAATTGGAATGGCGGAAGCAGTTTGTAAACAGATAAGCTGTAATGTTATGAACATCTATGGAATTGACTGCCATCCACATTTCATAGGAAGCAGCTTATTGAAGAAGAGATTTGATGATGTCTTGAAAAAGAATGCAAAGTATTTTGAACTAGTGGATGTGCCTGGAAACCATTTTGTTCATCTACATGATCCTGCACTCATAGCACAGAGGATAGACTCTTTTTTGAAAAAAATGCAATTTAAAAAGTAAACTGTAGTTTTGAGTATATAAAAGGCTGCTTCACACTAGTGTTTTGTTTTGTTTTGTTTTTTTGTGCAAGAACAAAATTTTTGTGAATAATGTTGCAGGAAGTAGAAGMCAGTTCTACTTTTCGTGCAGCAAAAAAAAATGATAAGTTGAAGTTGTACACGGGGATGACACGCATGACAAATGGCTGTACAGCGTGCAAAAAATGCTAGTGTGACACGGCATTTCATTTTTCCACATGTGTGAAGTAGATACACTGAAGATGTCCAAAAATGTGATGAAAATAAAATTCATCACAATACTAAGTCATCATGTCTTGGTGTCTTCTGTGTATTGATTACAGAGGCATGGAAGAATGGAATCTATTTGCTTTGAATACTATTTTTTGTTTACTTTTAATTTGTTTCCAAAGTATTCGTAACAACATGTAGAAGTGCTAAAGTAGAGTACAGTAGAGTAACATATAGTTTTGATTTCTCTTTGAAAAACTAAACATATATGGAAAGAATAAAAGATTGAAACAGGTCTTTACAGTAGTTATCATGGTGGCTTTCATATTGCAATTCAAATTAGCCATTCAGTCTTTCAGAACTAGCACATTTTAAGCAATCAACAGCTCTAAATTTTCATGGAATATTGTTTCAAGATAACAAAAGATTTTTTTTTTTGTAAATTTGGGAGTTATTGTAACTGATAGGAATTATCAGATGATTTTTAAAAGAACTACAAAAACCAGTTAAAATTCAAAGGATTTATTCGTTTGATAAGCATTCATGGACAAAATTGTATGATTTAGCATGTTGAAATTGTATCCAAATTCGATTTTGTTTGGTCACTGCCATTATAGTCATTAAACCATATGAGGTCATATGGCTAATTAGCATTGCAATGTAAAAAATCATCTTTGTGGCTATCCTGAATAAGACCTCTTGTTCTATTTTGATAAACCATCATCGTCAAAATGAGCTGAGTATATGTTCACCGTGTTCCCATTTTCTTGGATTACCTGTGGTGTTTCTGAGCCAGTAAATCATAATATCAGCAGTGATACCCAATGAAGTGAAATGGTGAAATGGCTTCCACGACTTCGAAAGAGTTGTCCTTTTCTGTTCCCTGGGGTGTCATTCAAGCCAAATGCTGGGGTCCTCCTTCTGGAAAGCCATTTCTAGGTTTACATGGATGGCTAGATAATGCAAATACTTTCGACAAACTTGCACCTTTATTGCCAAAGAACATCTATTTTGTAGCTATTGATTTCCCAGGTCATGGACAATCATCGTGCCGCCCTGTGGGCGTACCTAACAATTTCTTTGACTGGGTTATTGACGTGNCTTTTAGTCTTCTTTCTTATCATTTTCAATCAACTCTAAGTCGTTTATTTTTCAAGGATTGTTTACAAACTTTCAGGAACCAATATTTTAAGAATAAAAAAAATACTATGCGGCTATGCATGTAAACTCTAGCAAGAATACCTCTATATTTTGCTCCGACTATTTCAGTGGTCAGCACATATAAAATAAGACCTCCGCCACCACAAAAAAATCCAGTAGCGAGACGTAGACTCATTAACACTTTGTATGACGTGGCAAATGCTGACAAGAAGGTSAAAACACTTGTGCCCATGTAACAGACGATGTATACAGGTTTACGTCCGTATTTATCAGCCAAATTACCAAGAAACGGCGCTGCAAGCATACTACCAAACATAAACACTGATTGAATAGCTTCAACTTGATAAGCTTGTCCGCAGACAAGTCCCCAGTCACTGACAATCGATGTAAAATTTGAAGTGAACACTGCATTCTTGCATATCGAACCATCTTCGTTGCAAGTATTATCATGGGTTGTACTGCATGACCAGGTTGGCTTTGCAGCCACAAACACCATTACAAGCGTCTGTGCATAGATAGGAAATCCCAAAAGGTTTGTTATATAAAATATCTTTTGCTGAAAAGGACCAAATTCACCGATTTCTGACACAGCTGTATCGAAATCCATTTTGTTTTTATTTCCAGCCCAGGTTTCTTTTATTATATTTTACACAGGGAGCCCAACCAATTGGTCAAAGGAAGTAACTCACCCGGCCCATTRCCGGCCAAGTGAGTGTTCTTTTGGGCGCTATCGCGACTGAAACGCTTAAATGTTGATTCTGKTTTTTCCAGAATTCAAGCGATGAATCCTGAAAATAATCAATTCCTCTTTCCTGTCAAATTTTGAAAATTGAGACATTTTCATAGTTTAGTATTTTTAYATTAATGGAAATAGAATACTTTTGATATAATTTTGGACACTTTCATCACTCAATTCGTCCAGGGTATTCCTTGGTCGTGATTGGAGGAGCTTGCTTAAAATTGATGCATGMCTTCAAACTTCGCGCGTTTACAGTGCCATCGCCATCTCCATTGGTGACGCTAGGCTCTTTATCAGGAAAGTCACCGTTGCCATAAGAGTACATTTCGGGAGTGTCAACACCAGATCCGTAAAGACAATAAAGTGTAATATAATGTTTGGTGAGTGGTTGGGCAGCGGTACATTTTCATGCAAATTAATCGGAAATCACTCAGCATTCAAAAGGCAACCTTTTGACTTGGAAAAAAGATATCTATCTTGGTTTATACGTCATACACACAGGCCTAGAGCGGCCTTGGCAAGAGTAAAAAGAAGACAAATAAAGCAATACTACATAATTAACTGTTTTCAGCTGTGTTTTTGGACTGTGAAACAGCTCAGAAAGTGCGAAAAATTTTAAGATTTTGTCAAGAGCAAAATGTTGGCCCTACTTCAAGTTCTTTAAATCCTCCCCAGTCTTTTCACTTTCAGCTGGCAAATCAGCAGTAATGTAATAGTTTCTGCAGTTGGTAAGGTTTCTCATTTGACTCTAGCAAAAATACTCACAAATTGTCGGAAAATATTCAAAATTAAATAATGGACCAGTAAGAACTTGGATTTTGCTGCAGTACTCTTCTGAAAGTTGTACATTAATTTCAACAGTTTACAGTCATCGTACTATTGTTTACTTTTACACATAGAATCCATATTTATCATACAAAGCCTTAAAAAATCATTGAATATCGCCTGTCTCCAGACTTCTTCCGCACGTGCAYACACCCTTGCAGAAACGTTGTCATAGAAAATAGAACATTTGTATTTTAGTAAAAAGGAATAGATTAAAACAAGACAAAAGAAAGYGTTCAGCCTCAGTGATCTTCTTTTGTCTTTTTAATTTATTCCTTTTTACTAAAATACAAATGTCCTATTTTTTTATGACAACGTTTTCGCAAGTAGGTGTACACGTTTTTATTTAAATGTCGAGCTATTGCTAATCGGATTAACATTCAAGGCCTTACATTCACTTATATACATTTATATCCCAGCCTCATAAAATCCTCCACCAGCTGGTGAAATACAAAACCCTAAGCTGGATTGCACAAATTTAAGCAAAGGGTAACTTTTTTAAGATGAGGAACTGATCCAGTTTCCAAGAGCAACTATCCTGCGAGCAGAGGAATTTTTCCACAATTTGAATATATATATATAATATATATTTCCATTTTTGTATGTCATATTTACAAGAATTCATTTTTGCCTTTAATCAGCTTGTTACTATATTTTAACTTGGGATTTTGTTTGAGAAAAATTTGAGCATGTTGGATTTTCAACATCTTCAAATGTTTCTGGTAATGACTTTCCATGAGTTTCCGGAAGTGTGGCACCAAGCAAACCAGAAACAAGAGCACATATCGCAAATATTAGCATTGGCAAAGCCTTATTTTTCTCCCCAAGTAAGACTACAAATGGGCAAACTATACCTCC